ATCTTTATTTTCAATCAAAACAACTATTATTATTCTTATAATTTTAAAAATATCATTGACATTTCACTCTAAATAATGTTTTTATAAATTTTTTTATTTAAAATACTTCCTTTATGTTTGGAAAAAAAAAAAAAAATCCAAAACCTGGAGAGGGTACGTGACTCTCGTGAGCCCTCTATGCCTCCGCCACTAGCACAAAGGGGTAAGGTGCTCTGAAGCAATACACATAGATATAAAGTGAATTTTACACAATTTTTTTTTCTTTTTCTATACGCCATTAGAAAGCAACACACACGGAGAGACAGAGGGAGAGGGAGAGGGAGAGAAAGTGACCTGAATGGTGTGGTTCTTGAGTAAAGCATGGTCAAAAGCTGGTTGATGAGATATATAGACACAGTCGATTATATCTCCATCTGGACTCTGTTATTTTTTTACAAGAAAACATTATTAGAAAATCAATACATGCATACATACATACAAAAACATGCAAATATACCTATACATATACATATATATATATATATAGAGAGAGAGAGAGAGAGAGAGAGAGAGAGAGAGATAAGAAAAGTGTGTTGGAGAGAGGACCTTGATGGATTTAAGAGCAGGCTTGTTCAAGTACTTCAACTGCTTGTGAACATCATCAAGTTTCTGACCATAAATGCTTACTATGCCATCATAACACAGTGGCAGCAGCACCACTGTAAGCACCAATAACCACCGCCGCACCACCACAACAACACCATGAGTGATCATGATTATGAACACAATACACACACTCTCTCTCTCTCTCTCAACACTGACACTGCTAGTGCTTATCCTACAAGTTCGTACCCACACATGAATTCCTCTATAAATATCAATGAGGAATACAATGGAAAATTAGTTGGTAGTGTTGGAGCATATTTATAGTGTTGAATTGATTCAATACTTTTGGTTAGTTTTTAGTAAAAATATTGACAAGTGTCATTCTATGAAGGGTGATGAACAATGCTCGAAGATAACCAAATCACTGTCGAGTTTTCATTGTATATTTGGAGTGGAGAGATTCTTTTTCATTACTTAACAGTAAATGTAATATTTTTTTTTAAAAATTAAATTAATTATAAATACGTTTTCCTATTTTATAACTATTACATATATAATAAAAATTCTAAATTACACATATGAAATGGAGAGGATCACAATCTACATTTATTGGATCTTTCTTGGTTGCTTTTTTTTAATTTTCATTTTGTATTTTTGCGTTTTGCTTTGCAGGATCAGTTGAATTTGACTCAGTTTTTTATTACTTAGGGGTTGTTTGAGGTGTCCTAAATAAGTATACTTTTTGTCTTTTTAGACTAAAAAGTTGAGGGAAAAAATATGGATGTTTGGGTTAATTTTTTGACTTTTTATGGAAAAATGTGTATTAAAAAATTGTATAAATTAGTGTGTAAGGGAAAATTAGGATTGAAAATTGTGCAGCCATACTTTTCGACTTTTGGTGAATAGTGATAACTTTTTAACTTTTTGAGTAACTTTTTGACTTTTTGATAACTTGTCAAACTTGACCTTAATGGACCGTCTCTTTCCTCTCAGCTAATTACGCTTTCCTAGCCACCTATGAGCTGCCTGCTTATGGCTCTTTTGTACCAAATAAATATAGTTTCCATATCTAGTGAAAATGCAGTGACAATACTATCTGTTTATTTATCTACAACAATAAACAAATATATTCACTAAAATTCAAAAAAAATGTTTGCAGGATCCATCGTTTGAAGTGAAGCTCACGGAGAATTGTTTTGGGAAATAATTATTTTAGTTATTTTTTTGGTATTTTACGATTTTTGACTATTTTGGAGTGTGCCGAAAACAGCCCTAATATTGTGTTTTGTTAATATAATAATTAGTATTTTCTAATATTATTGTTTGGGCAAAATTCGCTTTATCTTATTGTGGTTTGAGATTAGAACATTTTATTCCTATAGTTCAAATATAACCACAAGGGGTTATAGCCTATGTGGCTGGTGATGACTGATGATATAATAGGTAGATTATGGACCCCAACAAAATTACCATTTTTTTTGCCGAACATATGTGGCTGTTTAGTAAAAGATTTGGTAGTTTTGTTGGAGTCTCTAACATTTTTCAGATAGATGACACTGGACAAATATGTGGATATATAGTTGGCGTGAATAGATAAATGGTATATTGAATAGATAGATAGATAGGTGCACTAATATGATTTTTCAAATTGATATTATTTTTACAATTGTGATAGAGACTCCCACACATACATGAACCCCACAATCCCCACTCTCATCACAACAACTTATAATGTGGGGTCCACATATGCATGAGTAGACCACACACATACATCAACGGCCAAGATCAAATTGAGTTATGAAACCTCCAAAAAGGGGGGTCGCAAACATTTCTGTTATTTTTATGACTCCAAAATATTGGAGTTTGGGGCTATTGCCTCAAAACTTCAAAATTAAATTTAAAAAATGAGTGGGAGCACTAATTAATGCCACAACTAATAATGTGGCAATGGGTCCCACCTACTGCTACAATGTTGTTGTGTCTGTTTTTTTTTTTAATATAAAAAAGTAGGTGTCACATCATTAGTGGTTGCTTGAGAGTACCACTTTTAGTGGTCTCTAGCATTGCCCATTAAATTTATGACTAGAGTGCCCATAAAGTTATGTAATTTTATAATTAAAAGATTCCAAATATATGATTTTAGTGTTGAGGGGGTAAAAAATCGTACAAATGCCTATTTTTCCTTTGGACACTAGCTAAAAAACTAGCATCTTGGTTTTGTTTTGCAAAAGAAAACGTAAAATTAGCCTAGTACTTAATCAAAAAGAGGGATGAGGAAGCAAGGGGATCTCGGTGGGTGGATCCCAGTGGTGAAGTAAAGAGGAAGACAATCAAATCCTAATTCGTGGTCTGAAAGAAGCAGATCGAACTTGATTACGTTTTTCGTGGATAACTTGCCTGAATCCATGGCACCTAGGAACCTGTTTGATCTATTCACCAAATTTGGCGTGGTTAAATACGTCTTCATACCATACAAGAGACGGAAAGTAACTAACTCCAGATTTGGGTTTGTTCGGTATGATTGCTCTATTGCAGCTAACGTTGCAGAACAAAAAACGAATGGGCTGTGGGTGGATGATAAATCCATATCAGTCAAAATTACAGAGTTTGCTAAACATACAGAGGGAAGGCAGCAAAGGAAAATTTTCTCAATATGACAACCAGTGGGAAGAAACACACCAGTTATGGCCAATAGCTCCATCTGGAACCATGGCACCGACGGGAGATCGTTTGCAGAAGTCATTAAAGGGGTTCATCCAAAAGCCCCATCTGCTGGGAAGATAACAATCAGAGTAGAGGAGATAGGCAACGGTTGGCTTTATGAGAGTTTGATCATGAGACTTAAGCCAGAGCACACCTCTGTACAGGTGAAAAATGAACTAATCAAGAGAGAAGAGCACAATATGTTGGTAAGAGAGGGAGGTAGGCGAGATGTTTATCTTTCATTCCCCTCCAAAGAAGACCTGCTCGGCAAAAAGTCCATGGTTATGGAATGGTTCTATCACTGGTGCGAGTACATCACAGTTTGGAGTCCTGGTCTGTACCTGCAGCAATAGAGACAAGTTTGGATCAGCTGTTTTGGGGTACCCCCAAACCTCTGGAGTGCAAATACATTCAGAAGGATTGGAAGCACATGGGGAGAGGTGGTTCTCTTGGATGGTGATATAGGTGCACCAAAATCATTTACAAATGGCAGATTTAAATTAGTTACTGCTGTAATGGACCCGATTAATACAAGTATCAATCTGGAGTGTAAAGGCCGAGTATATCCTATTCGAGTATTTGAAGAGCACTTCGCTGTGGATGATAGCCTCAGTTGTAAAGCGTCACTCTCTAAGGTCCCAGTTGAAGCTGTCTGTTCCAAAATCCATGGTGTAGCCCAACCCAGTCAAGAACACAGACCAGAGAAGGAAGATGGTGACATAGCAGATGACATGGCAGGAGCGTCTGTCAGAACCAATAAGGGTACGACAGCGGGGATGAAGGCTTTGGATGAGCTAGATATAGGAGGCAGCTGGAGTAACACATCAGTTGTAGCAGAGACTATAGCTTGTGTTGGAAATTCAAACGAAGACGGCACATGTGTGGCTGAATCACTACTATCAGAGAAAAGCCTACAGCAGAGGTGTAATCATTTTGCCCAAAAAGGTGTAGAAGAACAGCTAGCTACAGAAACTACGCAGAAGAGGGATGAGTGCAATCAAGATCCTCAGTTTAGTCCCATTGTAGGCCCCGCAGTTGAGGGTCATATACTCAATTCAGGTTTTATTAAAAGCCTTAGTGAGACTTCAAAAGAAAGGCCTGGCATTTGTATAGAGTTAGCTTTGGGCCAAATTCATAATGGGCTGCAGCCCAATGTGCCAAGCCATCTGAGTATGCTGCCCTCTAGGCCCTTTAATAATGGACCAAATACTTTACTTTTGAAGCAGTTGGGTGAAGCATCTGGAGTGAGTTCACAAGCTAAGGCTAATGCCACTTTCAAGTCATCCACTTCAGGATCCACCACCACCCGTTTAAAGAAAGGAAAAAGGAAAGGTGCTAGAAGAGAAGGGTCAAAGCAATCTTTATTAGCAGGTAGATTTTCTGGGTTTGCAAGAAGGGTTAGGCACAAAGGGGCAGGTTCAAGCAATGGGATCAAAGGAGGCACTAGAGCCAGATCTCAAACTGTTCACTCCTCACACAGCCACACATCAGAGTCAATTCACACCTCCTCTACAAATGAAAATCTTCAAGAGTCTCTTGAAACACTCCACGTGGGAAAAACTCTGGGGATTGACTATAAGGGCCAGGAATCTGAAGTTATCAAGAAATTCATATGCGTGGAGGAGCAAGATAGAGGGACAATGGCTGGAGGTACTGCCGGTGTGGAATAACCAGCTTTCTCATGGGTGCAATCTGCAGTACAACTGTTATACATGAAGATTCTGAGCTGGAATGTCAGAGGTCCAGGAAGGCCTGAAAAGAGAAGGAAAATCAGGAAGATATTGCATGAGCGGGCAGTAGATATGGCTTTGCTCCAGGAGACAAAGCAATCAAGTGTTTCAAACTTGCGGATTAAAAGTTTTTGGCCTAGAGACAAAATGGAATTCATGTCTATAGATGCTGCAGGTTTGTCTGGTGGTTTACTCTGCATCTGGGATCCTGATGTCTTTCATCTCTCAGATTGTTGTAGTAGCAGGAACTTTATTCTGTTATTAGGTAAGGCTCACAACTCTTTTGATTGTGTTCTGGTCAACATCTATGCCCCAAATGATGTAATAAAAAGGAAGGCTCTATGGGTGACCTTGTTAAATTTGAAAACACTTTTTGTAAACCCATGGTGCCTGGGTGGAGACTTCAATGAAATTAGGAATGTGGGGGAAAGAATAGGAGTTTCCTGCAGGTATAGAGGCATGCAGGAGTTTAATGACTTCATTGATAATTGTGAGGTGGTAGATGTCCAAATGCTAGGCAAAAAATTCACTTGGTGTAATACTCTTGAAGGGAAAAAGTGGAGTAGAATAGATAGATTTCTTCTTAGTCCTGAATGGTTAGTGAGATATAAACTCAAACTATGGGGTCTTCCAAGAACTATCTCTGACCACTGCCCTCTTCTTTTCATGGAGGATGGTAGGGACTGGGGGCCCAAACCTTTCAAGTTTCTGAACGCATGGACCTTACATCCATCACTGGCTTCCTTGGTAGAGAGTAATTGGGGTGAACTTCAACTGTATGGATCTGCAAGATCCATCCTGAAGAGGAAATTGCAGTCCCTGAAGTTGGTTTTAAAGAAATGGAATCAAGAGTCTTATGGTATTGCTGCAAAAAAATTAGAAGCTATTGAATCTGCTCTACATGATCTTGATTTAAAAGCTGAAACTAGACCTCTGGATGAAGGTGAATTGCGACTACAAAGAGAGGAAAGGACTGAAATGTGGTCACACGAGCAGGAGGATGGAATGGAAGTGGCTCCAAAAATCTAGGCTGGACTGGAATTTGAAAGAGGATAGGAATAACAGGTTTTTCCATGTCATGGCCACTAGTAGGCAAACCAGAAACACTATCAACTCCATCACAGTTGGGGGTGTGATTCTTGAGGACCCAGCTTCAGTCAAGAATGAGGTGTGGCTTCACTTTTCAAACCTGTTCAAAGATGATTGGGAAATGAGGCCAACTCTGATAGGTGAATTCAAAAGTATTAGACTTTGTACCCACTGTCATGTTCTTGAAGCAGATTTTTCTGAAGAAGAAATTTTGGCAGCAGTAAATGATTGTAATGGGAACAAAGCCCCAGGTCCAGATGGCTTTAACCTGATGTTTTTTCAGAAATTCTGGAAAATCCTTAAAGGTGAAGTTCTCAAATTTATGCAAGAGTTTCATGCCAGTGGCAATTTAACCCCAGGTTTAAACGACTCATTCATTACCCTTGTCCCTAAGAAGGAGAAAGCTCTATCTCTACATGAATTCAGACCTATTAGTCTGATCGGTTCTGTCTACAAAATTCTTTCCAAAGTCGTATCAAATACATTGAAGTTAGTTGTGCCATCAATAATTGGTGATTCACAATCTGCCTTTCTGGGAGGTAGAAACATCTTGGATGGTGGTTTGATTGCAAATGAAGTTGTGGACAACTGGGTCAAAACCAAGAAAGCTGGGCTAATCTTTCAAATAGATTTTGAGAAGGCTTTTGACTCCATCAACTGGAATTTCCTCTTTTCAATGTTAGCAAACTTTGGCTTTGGTAAAAAATGGATCTCTTGGATACAGGAGTGTGTCTCTACTGCTAGAATTTCTATCATTGTCAATGGATCTCCAATAAAAGAGTTTAATCCCCAAAAAGGGCTCAGGCAAGGTGACCCCTTATCACCATTCTTATTCAATGTGGTTGTTGAGGCTTTAAATATTCTCCTAAAGAGAGCTATGGACCTCAGATTGCTTAAAGGTGTATCTGTTGGGGTTAATGATGAGGTGCAATTGTCCCACCTTCAATTTGCAGACGATTCCCTTTTATTTTGTGAAGTTGAGATATCAGAGGTGCTAAACCTGAAAAGAATCCTTAGATGCTTTGAAGTAGGTTCAGGGCTTAAAATCAACTTCCACAAAAGTGTGATTTGTGGGATTGGCATCACCGGATTTGCCCTTGCTGAGTTTGCTTGCCTCTTGAACTGCAAGTCTCAAAATTTACCAATCAAGTATCTAGGACTACCCTTGGGTGCAAACCCAAAAAGAAAGAAAACTTGGAAACCAGTTGTTGATAAGGTAAAACTAAGGCTAGCCGGGTGGAAAAGGAAGCTTTTATCTTTTGCAGGTAGATTAACCTTGGTGAAAGTAGTGTTATCAAGTATACCTGTGTACTACTTATCATTATTCAAGCTACCTGAGGGAATTGCCAAGGAGTTAGACAAAATTCAAGCCTCTTTCTTATGGGGTGGGCCAGATCTGAAGTGCAAAATTCATTTAGTGAAATGGTCAGAGGTTACTAAGAGCATAAAGCAAGGTGGTCTAGGTGTTAGAAGAATCAGAGACGTAAATGTGTGTCTACTCCTAAAATGGTGGTGGCGATATGCTTCTGAACCTGTGTCTCTTTGGTATAGGGTGGTTTGCAGCAAATATCTGTTCCTTGGGGGGAAATAGAATCCAAACCCTTGTTTAAACACCTCACCCTCTTATATCTGGAATGGAATAGTGGCAGCCAGTAATCAAAATCTGCATCTTTCCCTTTACTATGCTAGCAACCTCCAGTTAAAGGTGGGCAATGGCTGTCGTATAAGGTTCTGGTCCGACCCTTGGTGTGGAAATGTCTGCCTCAAAGAGAAGTTCCCTAGGCTCTTCAGTTTATCTTCACAAAAGGAAGGCTTGCTGAAGGAATTTGTGGAAGTCTCTGGCGCTACTAAGAACTGGTCGTTCACATTTAGGAGGTCTTTATTTGTTTGGGAAAGAAATGAACTGCTCAGGCTATGTGGTTTTGTAGGTCCAGCCCCTACCTTTTAGCTGGAGTCCCAGGACAGTGCTATTTGGAGAGCAACCAAGCCCGGGCAATCTTTTGTGTCCAACCTTTACAACCAAACCAGCAGTGACTCTGGAGACACTGAAAGTTTCAGTCATCTAGTGTGGGTTAAGTACCTTCCTCCTAAGGTGCAATTCTTCAGTTGGCTCGCATGGAAGCACAAGATCAAAACCTCTGTATTCCTGCAGCGGATTGGAGTCTTGGACAGCTCTGCCTCTACACTCTGTGTTTTTTGTAAATCTCAGCAGGAATCCATTGAGCATGTTCTTATCCTCTGCCCATCTGTTTGGAGAGTCTGGTCTGGTCTGCTGCAATGGTGGGGTGTCTCCTGGGCTGCTCCTGGTTCTGTCCATGGTCTGCTGAAATGGTGGTCAGGGTACTTCTGTAGGAAAGCTGAACAGCGCATTTGGCGTGCCATACCCCTGGTCACACTCTGGTTAATTTGGAAGCACAGAAATGAATGCTGCTTTAACGCGTCTCTCCCAAATATGTAGGACTTACAAGAATTGATTCTCATTCGGCTGGCTTTCTGGCTTAAGGCAGCTGCAAAAGATCTCTATTTTTCGATATCAGATTTCCTCTATGATATCTCAGGGGTGAGGCGAGGTCTGTTATACTCTTACCTGTAATTCTGTGCTTATAACATCCCAGGGGTGTGGTGTCTCTGCAGTTAAGTCCAGAGACTGCAGCCTGTAGTTCAATCCAGTTTGGAGTGGTGGTTCTGCTGTTTATGGGAGTGCAACTGTAATTTTCTGAGATGAGGCAACTGCATTTTCTTGCCTGGGGCATTGGTAGGATAGCTATACTATCTCTGTTTATGACCTTGGGTCTGTAGAACTGTTGCTACTGTTACTATACTAGTTGTGGGAGTGAACCGTTACTGCTGTTGCTCTGTTTCTGAACTACTATCTGCTGCCTTTGCTTTGTTGTCTGAATGTGGAATGATCTTGTGGAGGATGCACTGCTGCACTTATGTTTGAGGGGGCGATTCTACTCTACTCTATTATTGTCTTGGTCTTTAATCTACCTCAAGTCAAGCATTGTAGCAGAACTGGAGGGTGAGCATGGCTGCCTTGTTGTTTTGTGAGCATGGTGGTTGATGCTGACATGGTCCCAGGTGTGTTCTGCTGGTATGTTTTTCTACTAGGTGTGGGTGTGCTTTCTGGTTTGATGGCTTACTGCTGGAGTCATAATGATTGATGTTTGTGGTTGAATGGACTCACAGGCTTATCTGCTTTGTGCTATGGACTAATATGCTTATCTGTTTGTCTTTGTGGTTATCTCTGTCTTGTGCTATGGGCTGCTATGGACTCATATACCTGGGTGTGGTTCAATCTGTTGCTTTTGTTTCTTTTGTTACTCTATTGCTTTTGTTTTGTTTTGTTCCGCTCCGCTTGTTGGTTTCTAACCAACTTGGAGCCTCGAGCGTGTGCTAGCAGATGATTTGGTGCGCATCTAGGTGCTAACCTAGTTGGGATCTAAATGTTTCACTGTGATGCTTTTGGCACCCTCGTTCTTTATTGATGTAAGTTGTCATACTTGTTATGTTTTTCATCAATAAAACTTTCTTTTGCCATTCAAAAAAAAAAAAAAAAAAAACTAGCATCTTGGTAAAAAAAAAAAGCCAAATAAAAACACTAATTTTAACAAAATTAAAATTTATTTGGATTGATTTTCTCTGGACGCTAGTTAAAAGCCTAGCATCTTGGTAAAAAATAAGCAAATAAAAAACCAAGTTTAAAAAAAATTAAAATATATTTGGATTGATTTTTTTAAAAAACTGTTTTTAGGCAGATTTTCATCCATTTTGGTGATTTTTTTTTAATATTTTAGTCAAAATGCATACACTTTTAAAATACATCAAGATTAGATGCATATAAAAAATAAACTAAAATAAATAAAATAGACTAAAATATAAAAAAGTTCACTACAAAAATGAAAATTCACAACAAAAAAAAAAATACATACAAGCTTTTGTTCAAATTTTAATTTGTTTTTAGTGAATTTTTTTTTCATATTTTAATCTACTTATTTTACTTTTCAAATGCATTTAGATTATGTGCATCTAAAAGTGAAAGCAAAAAGAAATATACATATATATATATATATATATGTATATTTCTTTTTGCTTTCACTTTTAGATGCACATAATCTAAATGCATTTGAAAAGTAAAATAAGTAGATTAAAATATGAAAAAAAAATTCACTAAAAACAAATTAAAATTTGAACAAAAGCTTGTATGTATTTTTTTTTTTTTTTTTTTTGAATTTTCATTTTTTTAGTGAAATTTTTTTTTTTTTAGTCTTTTTTTTTTTTTTTAGT